ATCGACCTCTAGCCTCCAAATGCACCTGAGCATAGCATACATAGCACAAACACAAGCACACACACACACACACAGACACACACACACACACACACAGCCCACAACCTCAAGGTACTAGGCACAGCAATGTAAGTCAACCCAGTAGGCTTTTTAGGGTGAATTTCTCTAACTACAAACTATTTAAAATACAAAACCAAATGTTCAAGGATGAGGTGCTTTATGTCATTGCAAATTTGTAATTTTTTTCTCTTTCATGAAAATTCCTAAATGCTCATTCAGACTGATTTGCTGATTTCATCTGCTTGTGTTCAAAGTCCCTGTCCCTCCTGGTACCATTCTTAGGTTAAGTCCCACTTGAGTGACTCAGAGGACCTCCTCTCTTCCCCTACTGCAACCTGCTATTCCTCTCAGTTTTCCTTATGGATGACCAGTGTCCCAAAACCTAGAAGTATGAGAATTACATGATACACGAGGCACCTGTCTCAGTGCCTGGCACTTGGTGAGCTGCTAATATTTCTCAGTTCATATGACTTTGTGAACTAAAATCCTTAACCAGAACTGGACTTTCCTGTTCTGCTTTTGTTGACATTATTATTTTTATTTGGCTAATCAGCTCTAAGAATTTGTGTCTGGTTTATTTGTCCACCAAAATCACTCTATGCCTTTCATTGCCACAGAATCCTCTAGATTTTATCTTCATAGGATGCTTTTTCCTTGTTTCTATGGCTACCACCCTTTGAACTCTTGTTTCAGATATTGTCTAATTGCCATTCTGTTTGCCTCTTTCTTCATTCACCCAACCCGTTTCCCAGTTTAGATACTGGACTGTCTAACACTCATCCTTTTTACAGAACAGGTAGGCAAGTGACATGATCCCACCAGAGAGACAGAGGATTGCCAGAAAGGGTTTTCTTCCACCCAAAAGGTAAATAGAAGCACACATTAAGCACTGGAATCATGTAATATACAATCATGGTTTCCTACAAAAACAAATATCTGCATGATTATACTACTAGTAATTGATGGGGGATGTCCTTCTGTATATATGTTTCTCTTATTGGTTGATGAATAAGACACTAACCAATAGAGGCAGGAAGACAGGTGGGACTAGGAGATGAGGAGAATTCTAGGAAAGGTAGGCAGGGAGAAACTTCAGAGGACGCCATGTAGTCTGCAAAGTAGTAACAGACTTGGGCATTCTCTGGTAAGCCAAGACCATATGGAAATGCGAAGATTTATAGAAATGGGTTAATGATTAAGACAGAGCTAACCAATAAGAAGCTCTAGCCATCAGCCAACAGCTTTATAACTAATATAGTGTGTGTGATTAAGACAGAGCTAACCAATAAGAAGCTCTAGCCATCAGCCAACAGCTTTATAACTAATATAGCGTGCGTGTGTTTATTTGGGGCTGGAAAGCAGCATCAGGACCAGGCAGATGAGAAAAATGCCGCTACAAGTGATAATACCTTAGTTTGTGTAAGTGTACTCTGTGAATAAAAATCACTAAATGACTCATGGCTTATAGCCTGTCTTTGTTACTAAGATTTGCAAGATTGAACAAAACTTTGAAAGAGATTCATAAGTGGCAACTTGTATACTTTTCTGTACTGGACAGTGCTGTAGGCAATTCCACTAGTCGGGAATTGTTACATTCACCCTGCTGTTACACAAGAAAACAATCTTTGTAAAAGGTGACTAGGAAGAGAAAACAATCTGCCCCTTTATTTTACTCAGTTCAAACTTTTATGTAGAACTGCAAGTCTAAATACCAGTAATTTCTTCAAATTAATCTGCCCATCTTTGAACTCCATTTTTACGAATTACCCTGAAAGGCAGAAATCCTCAGTGCTCCCTTTGGTCACATTCAGCCTTGTTTAACATCCTGTACCTTCTTCAGTTTTCCAAGTAATGGTCCCCAAGGGAAATTTGTGGATAGGGTAACTCAGAGGAGCATGTGAAGAAACCCTTACAAACTCTGCACACATAAGGGAAATGGGATGTGTATGATATTTTGTGTGTCAGTATCCCATTCCTTTCTCACTGCCTTCACTGGTTGGATAGTCACTTATCACGCAAAATAGACGTGGCTCACAGAATTTACCATCAACTCACTGTTCAACTCTTTCCAGAATAGTTTGACATATTGAAAGTCATGTGTGGCTGCCTAAGATGATTTACAGATTATATAACTTAGGTATTTTCCCCCTCACTTCCAGCGGCTTCCAGAGATGCTATAGGAGAACTGTAATGACAGATTATATAATTGCATAAGCATCCATCTGCTATTTAGGGAAATGAGTTCTTTGTCAGTGTCATTAGAAGGCATCAAAACAATAATTTAACTATATTTGACATGTATTGCACTAAAAATCAAAATTATCATCGAGGTGCTTTTAAAACTTTTAAAAATTAAATTTGTCTCTCATCATTAATAGTGACACTGTCCCTTGAAAATAGAAAGCCATGAGGTTTTTTTTTTTGAGGAAAATACATGCATGTAACCTATAAGTAAATACATGAGTATGGGCGGACAGCTCAAGACTGTGTTTCAATACTAGATATTTAAAATAAATGTGTTCTTGAGGCTGACAAGGCAGTGTTTTCCTTTCTGATATCCACCTAAATTCTGGCCCATGTTCAGTGTTGTAATAATTATTATAACTTCATAATTTGAAACTCGCATGTCAGGGTCTGTGTGTTGCTTTTTTAATATCCACAAAAACATGTAAGCTGAATCATATTTTCCATGAAGAATATTAGAATCAGTTAAGTTTCTCAGAGCTAGTGTACTCCAAAGTTAAATAGTTGGATCCACATGATGTTTATATTTTAAACACTACTCTACCACCTTTACTTATTCCCTGTGCTGTAATCAATACATTTATTTTAAAGTTTAAAAATGAAGGGTAGAGGAGAACATATTCAGCACATGGTATATGCATGCATGAAAGCATCATGTGTCACAATGTCATGCTCAGTGAATATATACAAAGATTCTTTTAAAAATTACAACAAAAGTAAAAGTATTCAGTTTCTTAAAGGAAGCATAAACTATGCAAGTGGGGCATTAAAACAACTCTACACTAACAGTTGTGGTAGTTCCTATTCAACTGGACTGCCAAGATCCTCTGAGTATGGATGTTAGCTATGTCCTTTCCTCATGGTCTACTGGCACTTCCCCCACTTACTCCAGACTGAGAAAGTGCAATGCCTCTTTTAACGCTATAATTATTCCTTCTGAAATTTTGGTCACAAGTGATATCTGTTATTTCTCTAGCTCTGAATCATATCTTTCCTTATGTTATTTTTTACTTGATTTTGCAAATCATAGCCAGTGTAATATAATATGACAATATGCTGATATGAAATCTACTTTGATATCTTATCTGCAAATCAACCATTGTGTAAACACTTGTCAGTCCCTTTGTCCTAGAATGATATGAACGACGATATCCAAATAAGAAAACACCCAGCAGAGTGCTAGTGAGGGACTCTTTGATCCCGATTGGGATATCTCCACTGCAGCTAGACTCTCTAGGTCCTGCCAATAAAGTGTGGATGCTTAGTGACTCACCTACTTCCCTTACAATGGGCTGTGAGTAGTAATGCACCAATGGGATCTTGTTCCTGACTCTTTCAGCTATCTAGCTTTTGTTGGGATTGGGGTAAGCTTATGAAAATAAACTCAAAAATACACAAAGTGTGTTCCATTTTTTTAATGGTACATGATCATAAATTTAACATATTTAAAATAAAAATATGATGGAAATACTTTAATAGCATAGATAACACTTCCCTCAGTGGAAGAATTTATTTAGAATTAACTAATTGGAGGCTGGATAATCAGAGTAGCACTTGAAGGAACACACAGCCCCTTTATTCAACCACAGTGGGACTGGCTTGTGCTGTGGCCGGGAGTGGGGCTGATACACCATAGGTACCTCAAACTTGAGCCCATTGTTACCTAGATAACTTTAAAACTATATTTGGAGTGTGCACCATAATCATGAAGTACAGAAGGTTTAGACACTGTGTTGGTAAGAAACCAATTTTATTATGGCATTGGCAAAGGGTAAAGAGACTCATTTCTCAAAAATAGGAATGTCTGTCTTGCAATTCTTCACATGATCAGAGACAAAAAAGCACTTTTGCCACTATCCCGTTATAGCTGTATCAGTCTTGAAAATAAGAAAGAAACCACAAGATAGAAGGTATTGGTCTAGGAATTCTGATATAATAGCGGCCTTGAACTTCATTAGGGATCAGCATCCCCAGCAAACCTAAAACTCTTCACAAAGGAAATCTCAAAGTGTAAGAGATTTCTATTCAAAGTCTCCATTTAAAAGAATAACTGTGTTACATACTAGCTGGCACTCAGACATACCCTTGAGCATGGATGGCTTCTGATCTTGCAGCTTGGTTTAGTAACATATATTGTGCCTGTGACTTTAGCCTGAAAATTGTAAGCAATGTCTCTCAATAGCTTAGAACATCACATCCATGTGCACAAAAGTAAACATGTGAGCAAATCCTGAGTTTTCTGAGAGCAAGGGCCAGTTTGAAGGTGTTTTACCATTTGGGTAGTTTCCTGGTAAGTTGATTGTTTGACAAGTATTCCTTATGCTGGAAGGTGTAAGATAAGTGTCACAGGGTGTGATGGTGGTTTGTTCTGAAGTTATACAAGAATGTACTTCCTTGTGAGTTCCTTCTTATACCAAGTTCCCACTCAAATACCTACCTGTCAATCTGGGAGGGTGGTGGGAGAAACTTGTGGGAGGTAGAGAAAGTTAAGCGTCAGGAAACTAACAGTTTGTCTTTCCTTTGATTGGTAAGGACAGCTCCCGCTGAAGAACAATTTTTCTTTCAAAGTGTGTGTGTGTGTGTGTGTGTGTGTGTGTGTGTGTGTGTGTGTGTGTGTGTGTGGATGTGCATGCCTGTGAGTGTGTGTGTGATATGTGAGAAGTCAGTGATGGCTCTCTCTTCCTTGTTTCTTCTAGACAGGATCTCTTCCTAAACCAGAGCTCAACCACTGGTTAGACTGGCTCTCCAGGAAACTCCCTGGATTCTCCACCTCCCCACTTTGACGGTGGCAGACTCCCACTTCTGGTAATTATGTGGGTGCTGGGAATCTATGCTCAGGGCCTCATCCTGCATGGCAAGCACTTTACATACTGAGCCATCTCCTCAGCACCTAAGATAACTATTGCTCATCACCGAGCCTTGTAAAATATAAGCAAATTCAGGAGTATGGTAGCTGAGCTGCTAAATGCCTAAAAGTATTTGATTAATTAATAATTGATTTTCTACATGCCTATACCTATTAAACCCTCATTTTTCATATGCAATATTTTTAAAAGAACAAAGCACAATGCATAGGAGTGGGAGAGAGACAAACAGACTGACAGAGACAGAAACGGAGAGAGACAGGGAGATCAGGACCCCCACCAGTGAATCAAAGATTCCTCTCCCCATGCAGAAAATTAGCTTGATTTAGAAATAGTGTCTAAGTGGGAGCTTTCCTGTCCCTCACTTCTAGATACTGAACATAGAATTGATTTCTCTGTTGTTCTAGGATGTAAGGCCCAAAGCAGACATCTTTCTCCTCTTCAGCCAAAGCTTGCAACCTTTGCAAGAGTGATCTGGAAAGCAAACACCCTGCTTGCCACTTGTTTCCCTCCTGTGTATGCTGTTTGATGGTTCAGATTCAGCGGTTCATGTTCCCTAAGGACAAACAGCAAGCAAAGCATATGAATAAATAAGTGCTCAACATTTTGAATGCATGAACTTTGTTATGCTTTTTGCAATGATGATGACAGACATTTTGCAATCGATTTTTAAGAGAGATTTTGCACCATTTGACATAATCTGATGCCGTTACTGATGTTTGAAGATTCCTGCATTTTTCCTGGGATAAAGATGTATGTGCAAACTTAAATAATGGTGGTGATGCTCTCTGCTAGTGAATCTTAGGACTATAATTCCCTTAATTGAATTCATTGATCATGCTCCCTTAAAATATTTCATATAAATTAAATACAAAGTAATACTTATTTTCTGTTCACCTTATACTTTCTGTTGTATTTTTCCCACAGATCACGTTGTATGCTCTATCTTTAAATTAATCTTTATTTTTACATAAAATTGACTTTTGTATCATTATTCTGATCTTATGAAATATTTTAATGTATAGATACTACAAATTGTGACTAAAGGAAAAATAATTTTGCCTAACACATTTGATTTTATCTTTCTCGATATATAAAGATTATTGCCATATATTTATCACATATTAATCAAAGTTTGAAGTTATTGTTAAATATATTTATTATCAAATTAATTTTATAAAGCGATGCTTCAATGAGGTAAAATTCCAATTTAATCTTTGGAAGTTTGTAATAGACTCATAGCTCTGTAACTCCCTCACAAACCTTGCTTGTTATTTAGGGCAAAATATGAAAATTGTTTAGCACTCACTTGTCATCACTCTAAGCTTTTGACAGCCATATACTCTGTCACTGAAGGTTGGGGTACAGGGGACTGAACACAAAGCTCATACATGCTCAACATGCTCTCTACCACTTAATTACACACCCAACCTTCTCCTCACAGTCTACTTAGTTTCTCCTCATACAGTCTAAACAGAATGGTAGACTAGAGGAGGTAGAAGAGCCAGAGTCAAGTGCAACTTTGGGGTGCACTAGTTAGGTGGTTGTAGGGAACATGTTCATAGCATCCTGAAACTGATGTATTTAGGAAGCCCTGGCCTCTGAATATCACACATGAACTTGAATTTAGGGAGGATGTGTACCACCAGACCTAACAAAAAGTATCCCACTGAGGCATCGGTTTCTGGGTTGAACAAGTTGGCTTAGGTTGAGCCCTAATCTCATTCAGGGAATCTGGCATTTTCCATACACTGTCATCTCTTCTGCCTGGGGGATTAGCACATCCTGTATGATGGAACTGTAAGAACACTCTTGGGGGTCTGTGCATGATCTCCTCTCTGTACATCCCAGAGCCCCAATTTTTGCCTGGGTGTGCTTGCACTGTTATAAATCCTAACCTGAGTACAGCCTGTGCTAAGTGCTAAGAATGGTTGCAGGGAATCATAAACCCAGGGTGGCTTGGCGACCCAAACGTTGTGATCTTCAATGAGTTGATAAACTTTACAACATGTAAATAATACTGATAGCAACTGTCTCATAAGGAGGACTGACTCCAATGCATTTATGTGTTTCAGGCAAAGAAATGTCTCAGTAAATTATTAACATTATTTTCTTATTTAAAACATTGTCATCATACTATCCGTCTGATGCTCTAGAATATAATTTCTTAATGCTGTTGAAAAAGTAGGAAGAGGTGTGGAAATCACAGTTCTTGGTTCTTCATCAATTCACAGAAAATGGGAGAGCCTGAGTGATTTGCATATAAAGCCCCTGGTGCTCCTGCCCCGTGTATCAAGGACTGTATGGCAGACATTATTCTTGTTGTTTGCTTTGTTTTATTGATGACTTTTTGGTTTATTTGATTTGGGTTTGCTTGTAATTTTTTAAAATTTTCCTGCTTAAAGTCAGTGAATAACACCATCATTCCCTTGTGCCAGTCTTTTTCTTTTGAGACTCCAAGTAGCTCCCAAATCATGACATGGAGACTTACTAGCTTTGAATGCTTGGCCTAGCTTAAGCTTGCTTCTGGCTAGAGCTCTTTTAACTTGAATTAACCTGTTTCTCTTTATCTACCTTTTGCCTCTGGGCATTTTACTTTTTCTTTCCTTCTGTATATTTTACTTTCACTTCCTCTCTTGTTCTTTCTTTCAAGCCTAGATTTCTTCTCCTATTTATTCTCTCTGGCCACCAGCCTTGTCTATTCATCCCTCTACTCCCTAACTATTGACCATTTAGCTGTTTATTAGACCAATCAGGTACCTTAGACAAGCAAGTGAAACAAATGCAACACATCTTTACATAGTTAAACACACCAAATATGGAAAGGTTTTTAAAGTACTGTAACACTGAATAAAAATAAGAATTCTTATGCTTCATTAGTAACATAAGGGTCTATTGAAAAGAGCCCTTGAAAATCAGAGAAAGAACCAAAGTTGTTCCTCAGTATGTTCATTGGGGTTGGTTCAGGACCACTGAGGGTACCCAAATCCATGGATGTTGCTTAAGTCCTTTATACAACTATTATGTGGTGTTTGCCTCTAACCTTTGAATCTCAATCTGCATCCTTTAAACCATCATTATATTGTTAATTACAGAACCTAATCTAATTATAAGTGCTATGTGATACAGTCTACAGTGATGTTTAGGGAATAATGTCAAGAAAAAAATGTCTACATCATCACTACAGATGAAATTATTCTCTTGAGTAATTTTGGTTGACAAAGATTAAATCCACAGTTGAGACTCTCTGGGTGCAATTGGATGTTGTTTTGCATGCCTATAATCTCAGAACTCAGGAGTTGGAGGCAGAAAAGTCAAAAGTTCTAAGGTACCCTGAGCTGGCTAAAAATTTCCAGTCTTGCCAGGGTTACTTGGGACCCTGTTTCAAAAAAAGAAAAAGAGAAAAATAGAATCTATTGGTATGCATTTCATTCCTTCCAAACATCTCATCTCTTATTGGATTGTTTCTAGTAAAATAACCATTTTTTTCTTGAGTGTGTGTGTGTGTGTGTGTGTGTGTGTGTAGGTACACATACCTATGATTGTGTGTGTATTGTTTGTACAGGTACACGTACCTATGTGTGTGTGTGTGTGTGTGTGTGTGTAAGCCAAAGGTCAACACTAAGTGTCTTCCTCAGTCCCTTTTCACCTTAAGTTTTTGAGAGTCTCTCCTGAACCTGGAACTCACTTATTTAGCAAGAATGGTCAGCAAGTCCAAGGAGTGCCCTTATCTCTACCTTTCCAAGTAGCTGGAATTACAGGTACTTGCTTCTATTGTGGCTTTCATATATGGGCTCAGGGAGAATCAAAATTGAGTCTTCACACTTGTATGGCAAATACTTTAATGACTGAACTATTTCCCCATGTCCTAAAGAAGTACTTTTGTGGTAAGGAGCTTGAAATACAAGCTTTAATAAGAAATGTTTTATTCTACTTATGACATTTTTGGATGCAAAATGCTATTACCATGGAAAGTTTGAGGTCAATATGTTTGAGGCAGAAATTAAATAGTGATGATAGAATATAGTCTTTTTTTCTAGGAGGACAATCGCATGATTTCTATAATAAGGAACTTCAAATTTGAGTCTTTATTGGCTGCAGTACACACCCACTGTCATGTCAGACACTGCTAATTATTAAGGAAAAAACTTTGGAAGTACCTATGCCTTAGCATAACTGCTTAGCTGGCTGAGAATTCATGAATAAATGATGACAATTTTGAGTTGAGATATATTGATGGAGCACACAGTGAAGCTAGCTTCATAACATCCAACTTCCAAAGGATTTTTCTTAGTGTCTGATTACTTCTGGGGAACCAAATGCCACTTCTATGTCATGAAATAGATTAGTGAATGGCTAACCAAAAGTCATGTTTTCTAAGTGGATCCCAAGGGTCTTTTATATACTTGGCAGAAACCTGTAACAAAGACTTTATGATTTACATACCTTTCATTGTCAGAGCAATCATTGCTAGGCCTACATATCTGCCCAATACCTGAAGACCAGAAAGAAAGGTCTGAAGCTACTGTGGATGGCTGGCACTTTTAACATTAAGTAAAATCAGCTCCTTGGCCTGGTTAATCTACAGGTTTTCCAACCCATTCCATTTTCCTTGCTCTGTGTTTGTATGTTGTAGCTGAAGAGGTGATTAGTTCCAGGGCTAAGAAAATGACTCAATTGATAAAGTACTTTCCATGCAAGCATAAATACCCAGCTTTGACTCCATATAGAAAACCCATGTTAAAAAAAAAACAACTTTAAAAACCAAGGAAAGCAATGTGCATGGGGGCAGTGCTCCGGGGGTAACAAAGGCAGTGGCATCCCTGGCACTTAATGGCTATCGAGTCTAGCTGAATCAATGAGCTTGAGGCTTGGTGAGAGGAACATTATCTCAACAAATAAGGTGAGGTCAGGGCAATGACTTAGAGCAGTGGCTCTCAACCTTCCTAATGCTGTGACCCTTTAATATAGTTCCTTGTGTTGTGGAGACCCACAACCACAAAATTACTTTCATTGCTACTTCATAACTGTAATTTTGCTACTGTTATGAATCACATTGTAAATATCTGTATTTCCTGATGGTCTTACATGACCCCTGTGAAAGGGTCATTAGACTCCAAAAAGGTTGACCTGTAGATTGATAAGCACTGGCTTAGAGGGTAAAAGTCCTTGTAATTCAAGATTGAAGACCCATGTTTGATTTCTAGAACCCAGGATGGGAGGAGAGAACTGAATCCAAAATGTTGTCCTCTGAGTTCCACACACAGTAGCAATCACCTACACTCACACACATCACCCTATCACACACAGAGATAAACAGTAGTAATAGTAGGAACACTAATATACTAACTTTGCCCCTCCCCCTGCCCTTTGCTTGAGGTGAGTGTGGGCTCTGCCCAGGGTCCCAACTCCCAGCATCCCTCTGCTTCCATCTTCCTGGCCTGCTCCAAGCCTAGAATGGACCTGCCACACCAGAAAAGACCACTCTGAGTCTGAACACAACTCAGTCTTGGTCCCCCCCCTCTACTCTCAGGTGAGTGTGGGCTCTGCTTGGGGCCCCAACTCCCTACATCTCCCTGTTTGGATCTTTCTGGGCCCACTCCTTGCCTAGAGTGTCTTAGACCCTCCTGCACCCATCGTGAGACACATTGGAATATTGTATCTGCTTGAACCCTCTGGAAGAGAACCTTAGACACATACCTACCAGAAGAGGAAGAGACGCCAGGAGCTCCCACTGGAAAAAGGGATGGGAAGACAGCAATATAAAAACACAGTCAACAACAGAAAAACCAATATGACCCCATCAGAGTCTACGGACTCTATACCAACAAGACCTGAACATACCAACACAGATGAAACAGAAGGGAATGACCCTTCAAAACAACCTCATGAAAATGATGCATGCCCTCAAAGAAGATATGAGAAAATCCCTTAAAGAAATAGAAGAAAAAAACAAGCCCCAAAATTCAAGAAATCAACAAATCTACTAAAGAAGGCCAAGAAAAACAATTGAATGAAACATGCAAACAGTTCAAGATTTGAAAACCAAAATAGAGACAATAGAGAAAACACAAACTGAGGGAATGCTGGAAACAGAAAAGCTGAGTAAATGATCAAGAACTACAGAA